TACGATGTGTCATGTCTCAACCCTAACCATAACCTTATCCCCAACCTTAACCAGCACTTTAATGACATTAGATAGTGTTTTCCAAAGTGATTTAAGTAAAATGAACGTACATGTGTAGATTCATTTCAAACGGTTCTCAGGTTTCCTAATTTTTCCGTTCTCGTAATATGGGGACGTGTTGTTGGGTGCCCGGAAGTGTGATATACTGACGATTTGTCACCTAGCGTAAAATGTTAGGCTTTGGGAGTGAGAACATGTTGGTGTGGAAGAAATTCATTGTTTAACACGTTTTAATAATCTCTCCAGTTCAGTCAGGGTTTATCGTCATTCCTGTGGGTTTAGCAGCACTCTTAATAATTGTTGTTGTGATCATCAGATGGAAGAAAACTAAAGGTGAAAACACTGACAGATGAACATTTAACATCATAAGCAGAATGAAGGAAATAAAATGTTGAATTCTTTGATTTCTAATGTGGAGGTTCAACTATTTTTTTTCTCTTGTCAGTAAACAAAGCACAACAGAGCGACAACATGGTGAGTTCAAATCTCCAGATAACAGGTTCTCTTTCAGCAATGTTCTTTTCATCATCATCTTTAGACTCTATAGTTCCACACCAGACAGAGACTCTAAATAACTTATAAGTCAGCTGGAAAATACTTTGAATCAGGTCCTCCTTGAAGCAGTTTTGTTAATTCAGTATTATTTTGGTCACAAACTGTATTTTTGCAGCGACTGAGCTTAAACCCTGCAGACACTGAGTCTGGTCCAGGAACCAATCAGGAGACGGTGAGATCTCTCAGTACTCCCAGTGCAAAGTTACACTCAGTGTTATGTTTAGTTCAACAGAGAAGCTGAAAATGAATTTACTTCAATAGATGTGAAACAGTTCCATCATGAACTCACATACTCAGCAGTCTTTATATTGTGTTCACTGTGCAGGCTGATGCTGATGATGGTGTTTCCTATGCTTCCATCAGTTTCACCAAGAAGACCAAGAATAAAGCCCGGGTAAGATTTTGGTATTTACATTGATGATGTTAGCAGTAAGTTTGTGATTTTTAAAGCTCCTGTCAGTTTATTTATTTAATAACATCTTATAATGTTTTCTTATAGGCTTGTGGGGATGATGATGACACTGTGACTTATAGCACTATGAAAGTTCCCTCCTCACCTGCTGGACTTTCCACTGATCCCAGCGACCTCTATTCCACCAGCAACAAACCAAAGAAATAGGGTGTTACTCGTGAAATGTTTCTAGTTGTTTTTCTGGATGCTGCATGAATGCTTGGATCATAGAGTAACTTCCTGTTTGTTCTTTTTATAGTAACATATATGGTATAATACTGGGTGTATTTGTGCTGGGGTAACAATGGTTATGCTACAGAATTACTCAATTTAAGATCTCCATTGTTAATGTAGTCTAGTGATAGTTACCTTTATATCAAATTAGATATCCACACAGAATATTGTTATTAAACGTTTATTCATTTGCTGTGTGCCATTTTTAACAATACAAAAAGGGCCATAAAACTAGGCTTGAGAGGTGTATCTCACTGTATCCATGACGATATTAAACTTCCTGTTTGTGACATCCAAAAACATGACAGCAAAAACACTTAATATTCAACTAAATTTCACTTTTCAGTCCCTTTAAAAAACAAAAGAAAAAAGAATATGTGATATATGATTGTGCACGCCTAGTTTTAAAGATTAGTGTGAACCAAAATCCTAAAGTCGTGCATACTGTTTGTCAGCTTTGATGCTAACAGGCTAACTTTCTTACTGCGCTGTGCAGACTTGCTTTCCAGTTTCTTGGTAAGTAGAGTTTGAACTTTTGTAATTTGTGCTAAACTTTCTGTTATGAATATAATTCCATGTCCATTGCAAATATGATCTGTGTTGTTGGATGATATAGGTTAAAGTAGCTTAAAATCCATCTTTTAAGCTGCTTTCAGTGATTA